CAGAGATACAAAGAGAGAGACAGAGATACAGAGAGAGAGAGAGAGAGAGAGAGAGAGAGAAGGGGAGGGAGAGAGGGAGAGAGGGGGAGAGAGAAAGAGAGAGGAAGAGAGAGAAAGAGAGATACATAAAAGAGAGAGAGAGAGGTAGAAAAGAGAGGAATAGAGATAGAATATGGAGAGAGATAGAAATGAGAGAGAGTGAGAGAGAGAGATGGAGAGAGAGAGAGAGATGGAGAGAGGGAGAGGAAGAAAGAGAGGGACAGAGAGAGAGAGATGGAGAAGAATCTATTGCTCTATCTATTCCATGCAAATATATTTAAGTAAATATATTTAATTATGGCAAAAAATGTAAGTATTTAAATGTATAAGGAATATAAAGATGTATAAGTTCAGAATCGTAGCTCCTCAGTCATATCGCTAGATTAAATCAATAATTTATAGAACGACTTAAAGCGAAGCGAACATCACATAATTCTCTATTTAGTTGAGCCCGAAGTGTAAATGTGAATGCTTAACGAACGACCCAGTCAATGGCTCCTGGCATCCTTTGGCTGGCAAAGGCAAAGGCAAAGGCAAAGGCAACTCGAAACGATTGCGAGCAAGTAAATAGCCAAAGATTTATCTAGCTGCGTTGAGCGTTGAGCATAAACAGCCACAGGAATGGGACAAAGCCAGCTCCTCGGGCGTACTTGGCAAACGAATACAGACAGCAAATAAGAACAATAAAAAGGGAAGAAGAAGACAACGAGCGAAAAAGAAGAAAGGCAGGAAAGCACGTTGCCACCCACTTGGACTGTTAACTGCATTCCATTTATTTTTTGGCAGTGCAAGCGCCAGTGGCAGAGCGTGGCAGAGAGCAGTGGCTGCTGCTCCATAAAGTTCGCTTTTATGCAGCACTTAAATTTATGTTACACTCGAGATTCCACTGCTTAAAGGTATCGCTTGGAGGAGCTTCTCTGCTCTGCTCTGCCAGCTTATCGCGTCTCCAGTTGCTGCTGCTGTTGTCTGAGAGAGATCTCTGGGCTTTCAAGTTTTTTCTTTTTGGGGTGGCTTGGCAAAATGTTTAATGCTACTTTTACTGTCCACTCCTCACGGCCTTAATGAGTTCAAGATGCTAAAAATCAAAGGCAGCATCCCACGCACTAAATCTACTCAAATTGTGGCTTAGTCGAGGGGCAGAGTGTCTCTCTCTCTCTCTCCCTCCCTCTCTGCTTTAAGCCGAGCAGCTCTTGAATATAGTCAGGGCCTCTGCACAAAATGAAAATATTGGATATAGTCACGCCCCCACTCAGTAAGGGTAGAGGTAAACTTACTTGCCACTTGACCATTTATTGTTGCATTGGCGCCGCCGCTGCTGCCCAGCTCACAAACAGTGGGACTCTGCTCACCGTTATTTGGCTCGGTTGTTGATGCTGCACCTGCACCACCACTTGCCCCAGCTCCAATGCTGCCGACGCTGCTGCTGTTGCCGCCTGCACCTGCGCCTGCACCGGCAATCCCCTCCTCCCGCTTAGTTGGCAGAGTCTCCGGCGTGCTGGCAACTGCAAGTATCAGAAAATAGAAATGCAAAACGAGCTTAGAAAATGAATTTATCTCATGTTACAAATCGCCATTCAACAGGTGCCCATATGAACCAATAAAAACGCACAGACATCTATGTATATACTGGAGCCAGTTTGTTCACCGACGACGGTGACGGAAGTTATTGTGTTGGAAAGGCATGAATTATAATCAGCAGGAAAGCTCGAATCAGGTGCACGAAGTGAAGCTCAATGAGAAATCAATGATCCATTTATAATACTAAAACAGAAATATAAACATAGTCACATAATTTCAATATAGACTATGCTCTACCGCCAAACGAACAATTCTTTGTTTTGTATAATGTCAGATATTACATATGTACATAGATCGGTTATTCGCTGCATCCATAAAACTCTTTATTTAAGAAGAATGAAGAGAGTCTGCTCTGATAATTGCATTACTTTTTTTGCCAAGACTAAACGAATTTCATGCAACACCTGCTCCAGAATAGTTGCAGCCCATATGAATCAAGTTAACTACAGTGCCGGATTAATTATTATCGGATTACTCTTTCTAAGGATATAAAAGGCACATGAACAACTGGGGAAAACTTCAGAGTTGTTTCACCAGTCGTCAAGAATTGATCATCATCATGCAGTTCCTCGCTTTTATCGTCTGCAGTCTTATGATCCAGAATGCTGTCACTGCTATTCACCCATGTGCCTGTCCTAAGAATTTGGCCCCAGTCTGCGGCAGCAATGGCGAAACATATAGCAATGAGTGTGAACTGAACTGTGCTAATAGTAAGTCCCCTTTCGAAATATTCAAAGTACACGATGGTCCATGTTGGACCTAAATTGGATGATGCAAACTTAAACGTGAATGAAGATGAACTATTAGAATTCAAGTTCATCTTAGATATGGAGCAAAATAAAACACTTCAAGCTAACATCAATGCTAGTTGATTCATTTCTAAGGCTTCTTTGGTTTCAATTTTCAAATAGAGCTGCAAAGAAATACTGCTTTTTGACTATTTCTG